TCTATCTAGTCCTAAATTGTAACTATCTTTCATATACTCAAGTACTCTTGAAAGAAAATTTTCGATTTTACTCTTGGTTTAAAGATTTATTTTATAGACTTGGTTACTGTTCTTTCGTGATCCACTGCCACTTAATGACGATGCCATTAAAATGGTAGAAAAATGGACGATGTTCATGTATCGAATGGTTGGCTTTTAATGTAAATAGTTTAGAAGATATGTCTCTGTCTTTGAGAAACATGAAATTGGCCTAACAATCTGTAGGGAATAGAAAGTAGTCCAGATAGGACGATTGGTTGTGATGAGTCTCAATATGACATCAGATTTCAGCTTTTTCATCGATTTAAGAATGTCGGTGGGCGTGAGGTGCGAGATGTGGTTCTTGTTCCACCCACATCCACGCTCTTCATTACATCCACTACTAGAATAAACATCTTTAAAAAGTCTAAACTTCTCAAAATTTATTCTATTGATATGATCATCAATTTTTTGTAATAAATTCTTATTGTGAAACACATAGAGAGTATCGGATCAGACTGCTTGAAATTAAAGTGGCTTGACTACTTTTATAGCATTTTATAAAACAAATTATTTAATGATTAATAGTTAAAGAGAGAAGTTTCAATTTATATTCATGAAGAACTATCGACAAGTACTATTCAAGACTAATTATTTGACCGGACATTTAAATAATTGAACTTCTTTTTTCTAATTCTGAAAATTACTTTCAACAAAATTTTCTAAAAAGTTTAAATCTTTGTGAGTTCATATTTTAGCCAACAGTAAGAAGTAGCCGTCAAACAGTACGATGTTTTTTGATAGAAAATAATTCAACACAGTTGAAACTCACTAAATTTTAACAGTAATTCCAAAAAAGTCATAGATAAAATAATCTCACAGATAATTAATTTATCTTCTACAAGATTATCTAATATGGGTAGGTCAGTTTCATATTATCAGCTATTATTCTGTCACACAAGAATTGAATCACTATTTAAAGATGCCACATTTTCTTCTCGTTCATGTCACCAGCTAGCAGTGAAAAATTATATCGATCTGTTTCTAATAGCTTTGTATAAAAACACTACTCAAAAGCGTAGCTAATTTATAAATAAAAATATCTCCATGTGTGCATTGGATTGAAAATTATAATTGTTTTTTTTTTCCATTAGAAATGAGTTATGACTGTTAACTATTCAAGAGAGACAAGGTTATTTTAATATAATTCTGTACTGTCATTTGATATACTTATAATATTTAACTTTAATAAATAATATTCTATACTAATAATGAATTTTTTCGATTAAATTTGATCCAGTTTCGTGTGTTTTGTTTTTAAATTGTAACTATGAAATGAAGAATAGTCCAATTTGTAACATCTGCGAGACAGTAGTAATTAAAATCAATCTTCTTATTAATTGTCATTATGAATAGCTTGTAGATTATTGCAAGGTTTAAATTATTATTTGTCTATATACTTCAATTTTTATCAAAGATATCGACGAGAATTTTTTGGACTACAAATCGCGGAAACTTTTGATTGTTTTCTTTGTGGAATCTGCATGTAGTTACTTGTTAATAGAAATTTTGAACTATCTTTACTTTTAAAAATATTCCATCCATATCCAGAGAAGTCATTTGTAAATAGAAATTAACAATAGTAAAATTCAGTCTAAAAATATGTTATATTAGATATAAAGTTTCAAAAAAGCAAATGTTGAACTATGTTACGCGAAAAATAGACGTTCAAATCGGGTCATATGAAATGATTTAATCGAATGAATGGAAAAATAACAAAAACTCTTCTATCATCATTTGATAGAACTCAAGACATTAGTTAAATTCCATATTTTGCTCCTTTATGGATCATTTTTAAAAGATTTCTACATTAAGATTCTATATGCTTTAGTCAGTGTAGGATTATTTCTGTATTGAGAAGAGTGGAGTGTGGGTATCAATGGAATATAAGTCTAGATGGCTGTGAATGAAACAGGTGCCAGTGTTTGCGAGGTGTCTATTGAGTTACACCGACAGCACCCATACACACACCCACACTAACACCTACACTCATACTCCACACCGACACTCACATGGATAGCAACACATACAGACACACTCACACATTCATCCACGCCCTCATCTTGTTTCAAGCTAACTGATGCCATCATTCGAAGAAGTCTAGACAAAACAATCTGTTTATTGTTCATCGAGTTTCAAGACGGTTTTTGACAAATCTGAATTTATTTCAACGAAACATAGCAGGTGATCTTTTGTCTTATACCTCTCAATTTCTGTAGTGCAGTTTATTGAATGGATTTTGCCGTGCGTTATTATGGAGCTTGTTGAAAAAGACTTATGGTCCAACCCAAGTTGTTTTCATAAACCCTCAAATGTTTATGATCGTAATAAGTCCAAGCACATTGAGCACATCCAGTTTTGTAAATTAAAACCATCCAGATTTTTCCATAAGTGGAGCCTAGCCAACGTTTAACATCTTGAGCGATTTCAAACATATTTGATGATCCGTGTGTATCAATTGAAGTATTGATTGTGCTTAATATGTTGATTCTCATCGTATCCGTGATTCCTGACTCTTGTGTTTGAATTTCCCATTTCCCCATTCTGATCGATGTGAAGAACAACTATCTAGAATGATCATATTTCAACTAGAGAGAGAACATAATGTGTTTATATTATCCATTTATTTAAATTCATCTGGATGAGGGCTTAGGTATGAATGAGTTCGAGCTATTAAGACCAGTTTTGACGTCACTCAGCACGTCTCATCAGATGGCTTCATTTCGGTTTCCTTTACAATGAGGACTTTTTTGAATCTGATCTTGAAATAGCGCTATTTCAAAATAAGACATGAAAAATTCCTCGAAGCAGATAGGACCGAATTGAAAATATGTAATAAGATCCTTCAACAAGGTTGAAATCGGTCTTGGCAGCTGTATTCATTTCACGTTCCCACCCTTATTCATGCCTACTCAAAGCTTTTCGTGTCGGCTTTCGTTTTTCATTTGGCCTCCTACCAATTCATCAACGAAAGTCGCTTCGCCTATGTATCGCAGAGCACAACTTATTTGATTAAGGGCGAGCACGAAAGAGTAAGACAATGAACGAGAAATGAGTAACTCTAGGAGTGTAGGTATATGTAAGAATGGCTGAAGAAGAGACCATTAGTCACTTACATGCATATTGTGAAATTTTCGCCTTTTCCAACATTTTACCCGAACGCATTATTTAGTTTTAAATCACGTTGGCTTTCTGTATCACACATTTGCCATTCATTCTAGTTACGATTTGGATGTTGACAATGACCAGCAACATTCAAATATCCAAAAATGAATTAAACGGATTTTATATTGAAAACCAAAGTGAATTAAGAGTAAATACTGCTTTCTGAAGCAAACAATTGTAAAAGTCGAAAAACCGTCAGATTTTGAAAGTCATGAGTAATGTTATTGTTCGATTTTATTTTGTTTTGAAGGCGGAAGAACCATTATGTACTAACTACATCATACATTTTTTTTCAGAATCTGACGGTGAATGTTTTACGGAAAAAAATATCAGGCATCACCGATAAAAGTTGATGAAGATTGCAACTAAATAATGACAAAACTATTTATTTTGGTCGATTTATAAAAACGAGATTTCACTATTCTTATCTATAAAAATAACCTCATACGAAGTCAAAAATTGTCCAATTGGTTTCGTTTTTTTACACACATGTAAAACTCCAAGAGTTATTACGGGTTTTAACCCTCTTCTTCGAATTTTAAAAGTTTATAATCCGAATCTTCGAATAATTTAAAACTCGTAAGAGCTCTTGGAGTTTTACATGTATGATAGGTGTGCTCACTGGCTTCAACTCATTCGCTTCAAACACTTATACCCTGTTTATGCCATATCAATGAAATACCCATATTTACAATGCATCATCATGCACGTTTTTTTTTGCCAGCTACGTTTCTTTTTCTTTTGTTCCTTATCTATTACGATAACTGGTAAGGTGAGAAGACTGTAAAAAATCCCAAATAGCGGTAGTTGTGCTGCAGAGATGTCCATCGCGGCTGAAAATCTGCCGCTGCCGCACCGCAGCCGCGCCGCGACGGTCTATAAAAAAATGTTGCCGCGGCGCTGCCGCGCCGCGATGGCTTATAAAAAAAAACGTTGCCGCGCCGCTGCCGCGATGAATTATCAAATAAACGTGCCGCCGCCGCGCCGCTGCCGCGTCGGTTTACAAAAAAGTGTTTCTAATTTCACTGCTGCGACTATATTTGACCAGAGATATTGGTACTAGTCCATCAGATTCATTCAGTCTCGGGGTGTTTCATTTGTAAACCCTGAAATTCTATTAAATTCATGCAGTTTTTCAATGTTCCCCAAAAAAATCCTGCCGCTGCCGCGATGGTCTTTTAAAAAACCTGCCGCTACCGCGCCGCTGCCGCGATGATTTTTTAAAAATCTACCGCTACCGCGCCGCTGCCGCGGTGATTTTTTAAAAAACCTGCCGCTGCCGCTGCCGCCACAGGCCATCGCGGCAGCGGCGCGGCAGCGGCGCGATGGACATCTCTGTTGTGTTGTAGACCAAGTAATTCAATACTTAACATACTTTTTATCTTCTTATCATAAAACACATTTTGCTACGAACAACAAAAAAAATGACGTCTGTATCGCGACCGTGTGTCTTTAGCGGATGTAAGCGACCATCTCGAGCTTTGTGCATTTGCTGTCAACAGTGTTTGTGCCGTGATCATTTGAAGGAACATTATGATTTAGTTAATGCCCAACTGCCACCATTGGCTGATCAAATCAACGCACTTTCGAATCAATTCAATAACGGTGTTTTGCTAGAATCATCTGAACTTACAGCGCTCAAACAATGGCGTGAAGATGCTCATAAGACAGTGGATCAATTCTATGAGAGAAAATATCGACAATTTGAACAAGTTATTCAAGAAAGGAAAGCCAAACAGAAAAAAGAACTTGATCGAATGCGAAGCAATGTAAATGAATTGATTCAAGAACAAGAAGCAACACAAGATCAGATTGATTTAATGGCAGAATCTATTCGATCTCTCGAACGAGATGTCAATAATCTTGAACATGTTCATTTCAATATTAATCCATTAGTAATTGATGACAATCTCATTTCCGTTCCGCAAGAAACAGCATCAAGAGATCTGTTACTTGTACCATCTATGCATCAAACAATGCAATCAACACCCGACAGAGTAATGAGCAATGATAAACATCGAGTAGAGCATCAAAAACGCAACTCATGTTTCCCAGGTAAGCAAAATACAGATTTTAAAACTAGTCGTACCAAACCACCTATATCTAAAAATTTCTCGATGTATGTTAAGGATCGCTGCTGCAGTCAGTTTCTAACAAATTAGTTCACCATCGAGAATCAAGATAGCGTCCTGACTCATCTTTTATTTATTTTTTATTCCTCTAGTTTTCATATTTAACTTAGTTGTTGTTCATATGAAAATTAGATTGGATCTGGCCTTTATCTATTGCATTTTTCTTCCCTCTGTGTTTCTCTCACACAACTTTCGTTTGAAGACATATGTGATAATTTAGGAAGATTTCCAGGGATGATTCGTTGAGTCTAATCATAGGAGTCTTTGTAATTGAGAATTCAGAACTTCTTCTTTAAGTATCAGTTGAATTTTCTTCGTCCAGAATATATCGTATAAAATTTGGGCTAAAACAAATTATGAGTACAAGAATATTTTAACTGGCTTCTCTGGCTTTAATTCACGAGAACTTAAAATGAAAAACGATAAGATGATTACTATCAAGATTAGAATCAGCTTGATAGGATACAAGTGAATTCTAAAATGACTGTTTGAGTACTTCTATCTGAAATAAAATAATGACGTGCATTTCAAGCGAGTATTGAAGTTACTAGAAATTTATTGACCGCCTCTACACTGTTCATATAGAAAATCTTAATCTTCGACCGTTACACAAGGATAAAAATATACATATTCAAACGTTCGATGGAGAAAAAAAAAACAACTTTTTCTTAATTTTAGAACTGATTGTTTCGTAGATGTTGCTTAAGTAGAGGCTTTCGAACTTAAATCATATCTGCCCTCACCGCACTGTCTACATTGAGATTTTCTGTCTATACTAAAGAAAGGTTTATCCATTCAAATCAGGAAAATAGAAATTCCGATATAATTCGTATCATTTGTATTTTGCAGATACTCACTATATCTTGAAAAATATTTGCGATAATTGAAATATTTTCGTGTTCTCGTTCATGCAACCAGAATTTTTATCCATTTTGTGAAGCCTTTAGTTTGTTTTTCCTCGGTTCTCTATTAAGCCATATAATTCTTTCTTCAGTTTTGTATCCACAAACAGACAATAGAGATAATACAGGGTATACTAAGATCCTCGTTTTTTTCATTGATATGGATGCAGGTTTGTTCAGTAAAGAATAAAAACGTAAGATCTCAATCTAGTCATTCTTGTAATGTCTAAGCCAGAATTCATCAAGTAGAATGTTTTTGAGCTACCTTCATGAATAGAAAATTACTACTATAGATCATAGTTACAATCGGAGTATTCAGTTCAAGAAAACAGACAGAGCTAGTCGTAAAAAACTAGTCATCGACCAGGATTATATAATGACCCTCTAACTAGTTTTTCGGTCAACTGCCACGAAAAAGAAACAAGAATGAATGAAGTCGAATACGTTTTGCTCTATTTGTTGATTTCGGATATCAACTGAATTCTTTGATTATCCAGGCGTTCATCGTTCTTCTTTTATTGTTTCTATTCTTCCTTCAACATATTTTCAATCATGTTTCACAAAATACAATCGATAACTTTCTAGAAAAATGTATTTTATATTGGACGAGCTCAAAATTAATTGTAAAACGACTTTTAACCGTTTCAATGACAGAAAACAAAAGTTTTCCATTATTTTTAAGGGAAGTTATTTAGCTCGAAAACACTTTATGAATGAATATGACACCGAAAACTGTTTTTTCAATCTCGTATAAATTAGATTGCCTATTGATTTCCTTTTTCGTATTTATTTTCAAGAATAAAATCAAAGAGAGTGTACATCGAGTTATTAATGTGAATAGAGTTAATTAATAATTATTCTAGATAAACTTCATCCAAAATTGATCAAGCTAACGAGATGGGAAATTGAAGAACAAGGAAGTGGAATCACAGATTCGATGAGAGTAAATATATTGAATATAATCAGTACATCAATTGATATACATGGAACGTTAGAAATGCAGAAAATAACTCAAGATGTTAAAAATTGGCTTGATGAAACTCACGGAAAAAGTTGGACTGTTGAAATTAATGATGCACGCAACTATCAGCCATCTCACACACATTTTGGTGCTAAATACTTGAAGATTCAAGAAACAAGACTGGAATGGATTATTGTACTTTTTAAAAATATATGAGACGATTGATTCTATTAATAGAATATGTACTATTATGATTTTCATGATAAGATCAACAACAGTATGTTCTTATCTTTTACAATGATTCGAAAATAAGCAAACATATTGAGTAATCATGAAAGAGGCAAACAAAATTCTGATTTTTAGATTCCACTTTATATACCAGAGTGTGTTTGTATTTGATGTGAAGCTGACACAATATGCGAGTGTAGGTGTGCGATGTCAATGTTTGTAAAGTGTGTGTAGGAAACCAGATCCACACATAGCAGCAGCCATAACTACACTCAGAATACTTATGGAGGAAAAGTTTTTCGACGAAAAAAATATCTGAGAGAGATCCTTACCTTCATTTTTTTTTTCGCGAAAATGTCTTCTTAAAAATTGTTTTATGTTATATATGATTCGACATGTTTTAAAGCGTTAATTTTTGATTTACTAGTTTTGTCGATTAAATATTCTCCAGAACTACAAAAACTACAAAAGATATTTAAAAACCAGGCTTTTTGAAAGCTCACTATGCAGACAAGTAATAATGACGAGTTTTTCTGTAATATAACTGATTTTCTACATATGTAGCACAACTCAAATGTTTTAAACTGTTAAATTCATCGTTCATTGTATTGTTTCTACGTAAAATAAATACATATGTGTGGCATACTTTTGACTTAAACTGCTAGTGACAATACAAATAAAAAAATCTTGTTCATATGAATATTGATTATCAATATTTATTAGGTTTGTGTTCATTGAACGAAGTTCTTTTGTATTTGTCTATTTTCGTCCGTTATGTTGGCCTGTTCATTCATGATGAGGAGAGAAAATATTTTCGTAGCATTATTTTCTATAGTAAGTAGGTTAAATGCCTTTTTTTAATATATTTATCTATGCAACATATCACAATAAACATTACGAATAAATATAAAGTCGAACATAGTTTTCTGCTAAAATAAATTTAAAATCATTGAAAGTGATTTTTTTTTGAAAATCTTTCGAATTTTTCTCTTACATAAATTCTGTTTTTTTTTTATACAATAAAATATTTTTACACTAGTCAACCATCTTGCTATCGTTCTTTCCAACTTCGTGTTTTTCGTAATTGATCAATACAAATTCTGTTTACATATACTGCAGTTAAGATTCTTGTTTTAGGCGTCCATAGATGTAATAAAACCCACCAAAAAAATAAAAACAATATGACTATTAGTCATCGTCACATACAAATGAATAATTACTATTCAGATGTTCGCATGTATGAATATTATATCGATAATATTTGCTATTGTGTCTGGAAGATTAGATAAGAATCTTTTAATCGAAAAACATAAAGCTAGAAAGCATAATGACAAGAGTTTTAATGACTATTAATTCAATCTTCTATTTATAATGAGAAGTTCACGATGAAGATCAATCATATGAAACAATTGATCAAAATATTAAATATCCAAATATACAGCTCGATATTACAAATATTGTTAGATAATATAAAGAAAGAGTTATGAATTATCTTAACTTTCTAAGTATACAATAGAGACGAGCATGACTAAATCATACATCAAAATTATTTCCCAAATGAAACACTCACTGATACATATATGATTATATTGTACAAAGAATGACTCAACATAATGTGCGAACAATATGTAATCAGATACCTATACCCCGAAAGGAAAAAAGATATTTCCTCAGCACATGTGAAAGTATGTGCACAATCGTGACTAGAGAAAAAAAAATATGCTGCAATTGAATGACTAAGCTGTGAAGTATGGCAACGATATATTAAAACTGAATTCGATTGTGATCTGAAAATAACAATCTGATAGATATTCCAGTAACTCATTTACAGATGGTACTCATCCAATAAACAAAATCTTATTGCGAACATTTTTTTTAATCGTCTCTGCTTTCTTTTTTTGGATTATCCTCTATTTTGTTTTTATTTACAATTTTATGTTTGTTGTTCGTCTAAATCAAGTTATTAGTATTCGTATCGCTTCTTCTTGGTCTTTTAATTATGAAAAATGAAAGAAATAGAAAATATACAATTTCTATCAGTATCAACCTGGATTTTTCTCATTAATTTCTTCTTATTCATTTGGTATTCTTCAACATAATCATTCGTACAAAATATATTTTGACTCAGTCGAAGTAAAAAGAAAAAACCAGTTGTGAATCATATAAAACAAAATAAACGAGAAGGTCATTGATTAATATCGAATATATAGCCACGGTAAAACTGCTTTTTTTGTTTTTGTTAGGTTAAGACAACTAATAAAAAGAGAAAGAAAGAGTAGTTTCTTTTAGGCACATACGAAGATAAAAGCATTTATTATGGCTGGTGTAGCAAAAATTTTTGATGGTCATATTCTAAATAAATCAAAAGAATTAGTTGATCTTAATGATGAAAAATATAAAGACAATATAATTGGTCTTTATTTTAGTGCTCATTGGTAAATTTTTATTCTTTTATATTTTATTAAAATTCTTTTTGTTTTTTTTTGTTTCTTAGGTGTCCACCATGTCGTAATTTTACTCCGGTATTAATTGAATTTTATAAATCATATGCAGAAAAAAAAAAATTTGAAATAATATTTATCAGTTCTGATAATGATGAAGATTCATTTAATGAATATTATAATGATATGCCTTGGTTAACATTAGATTTTAAAGAACGTGAAAAAGCAGAAAAAATAGAAGAAAAATTTAATATTACTGGAATTCCAAAATTAATTTTACTTGATGGAAATTCAGGAGATATTGTTTGTAATGATGCAAGAAATCGTATTCAATCAGAAGATACTAAAGGAGAAAAATTTCCATGGAAATCATCATAAAAAGACTTTTCTTAGTTTAATCGCATCATATTATTAATCAAATATTATAATTTTTTTTTTTAAGTGTTACATGTTTTTCGTCTCATAATACTCTTTTTCAATATATTCAAATAAACGAGAAAAAAAAAACGATTAATTATGTTGTTTTTTTCTTGATGAATCTATCTTTAATTTCTACCTATGTTTTTATATTGATTGAAGACGATAATTACTAAGTATACTTTCCATGAATTGCAATGGTTGTTTTTATTTATCTTTGGTTAAATCAAAATTTTTCTCATGATAATATAATCAAAACAATAATAGTCATACAGTTGCATAGAAAGTGCACCAAAACATATGAGCAAGAGTAAAGTTTCTTTGGTTAGAAACTGTTTAAGTGCTCCTAAATGTATACGGTAAAGGTACTCTGACCTTCTTAGAAAAACTAATTTATCGAAATGAAACTTTTATCATAGAAAAATTTTAAAATGTCGTTTGAACAAATAGTTCCTCAAAGGTATTGGTTTTGATATGAAATCAACATGACCTCTTTACTTCTTTTAATAACAAAGTTATACAAAGGTCATGAATAAGCTGAAAGTTCGATCTATCTTTTACGTATTATGCAGAAATTTTTTATCAAAAGCATTTCTCATTACAACTACTGATTCTGGAACATAGCAGTAGAAATAGATTACTCTAAATGATATGATTCATAGTGACATACAAGTTTCTTCAACGTTTCACTATCTCTTTGGCAATAACTAATTGAGAGTACGATATTATACAAAAATACAACTCAGTGGGTATGAAGTCAATGAATCATATAGCTGTCACTATTTATATTTTTTCTACAGGAAGAAAACTTTGCAGTATATTCCATAATGTTGCAAAAAAAAAGGAATGAGCTAAATCTATGCAAAGAAACTAAAGATATGTGGCTCACGCGTCACGTAGATGTTGCAAACCTATCAAATTGTAATCCTTACTTTACCGTAGTATAGTAGATTATTGTCTCGCTCGAATGAGTAATAGATAATATATATGAATCAGAATAATTGAATAAACAATATATAATTGAGAAAAACATTTCTTTCCCTTTTCGTTCTTATCTGTTTTTCTTGAGTTTCTTTCTGTATTACTAATTTTTTTTTTCTTCGTATTTGTTTTATAGACATCTGATTGTATACAGTTAGTGTTTTATCATTATCTTCATCTTTTTTCGGTCGTATAATTTTACATGTTAAGCCATCTAACGGAAGCATTCGTTAATAAACTTGGTAAGAAAAGAGTCTTGAAATGGTTCAATTAACTTTTCATATTGTTATTTAGAAGAACAACGAGCAAAAGAACCTTGTTGTATCATTAAATGGGAAGACACAAAGAAAATCGAAATTATCGCACAAACATATATTCGTCTATCACCATCACAAGATCCTGAAGATGATGTTACTTATGCGATTGATATAGATGGTGAAAAACGTTATGGAACAGTTCTTGCTCATGGTAAAATAAATCAATCTCTTCATTGTGAAACATGATCTAAAACGAGTATAGGGGTAGATCTTCGAATGTTCTTCCTCGAACAGATATCTTTGCAATGCTTTCCTCTTCATTTACAAACTACATATTAACAAATTCTGGTTATAATCTGTATTTCTAGAGAATTAAATAAAAGAATGAGATGAAACAAATATGGAATAGAACAACCTTCCTATAATTAACAATAGCAGTTACATCATGTTTTAAACAGCAGTACTTTTTATAGATTTGTTTAAAAGAAGTTTTTGTTTACAAAAAAACAATAAATAAGGATTCATTTATATGTATATAATGATAAAAATTTATTTTTTCTAGTTTTCCAAAAAATAATTTGCTGCATTGAATAGATTAGTTCCTATCAAAAGAATTATTTGAAAAGTTCATACGATCAGAACTAAACATGTCAATCATCGATCAAAAATATTTATCACATTGTTATATACTGAAATTTCTTAATAATAAGTTGAAATTAAAAATCCTAAGAATTAATAGAATTTTGAAGCAATATTTTACATCGAAAAATTTTCGAATTTTTTTACAATAATAATACTATCTTTGAGTTCTATTGATTTTTCATCTGAATTCAATATTTTAATTTAACAATTTTTTCTCTTTTCAATAAAATAAAAAAAATTAAATTAATTTCTTTATCTATATTATTAGGTACAAAAGAATATTGTGAATCTATTCTACATAAATTTTCACCTGGTGAATCAAAACGTCAAATTGAAAGTAACAAAATAAATTTTGTATTTTTTTTAAAGAATTTTTATCATTACATATTTCTTATAGATTTTTCTTCAGAAAATAATTCCGAACATATGAATGATTTATTATTAATGAGTGTTCTTGCAAAATTACTTAATAAAACTGAATCTACTGATACTTATGATGATAGTGATGTTCATGATGCTAAATGTGCTGTATGTGAAATGCAACCTATACGTCAAACTGATCGATATCGTTGTTTAGAATGTACATCATCAAATTATGATATATGTGGACGTTGTTTTGAAAGACATCGTCAAACAGGAAAACATTTTACTGGTCATGCTATGGTTCATTTTAAATTACCAAATGAAGTTTTAGGAATACAATTTAATAATATTGATAATGAAATTAATTTAAATAATTTAAGAAATTTAGATGCATTACGTTATGAACAACATGATGGTATAAAATGTGATGGAATTTGTTATCAAAAAAATATTATTGGTTTACGTTTTAAATGTGATACATGTTCAAATTATAATTTATGTGAAATATGTGCTATTAATAAACATATTTGTACGAAAAATCATGAAAAAGATCATCCATTAATTTTAACTTCGAATAGAGTTATGCCTAAAATTGATCCAGATGATATTGAACTAGAAGAAGTTTTAGGTAAAGGAGGATTTGGTAAGTTATTCAATTGATAAATATATTTATATAGAATAAAAAATATATTTATAATAGGTCATGTATATAAAGCAATATGGAAATCAAAAAATCGTCCTGTTGCTTGTAAAGTAATTGAAATATCTAGTAAATCATCATCATCAGATCCATTACGTCGAAGTTTTCTTCAAGAATTAGCTGCATATAGAGAATTATCAGGTCCATATATTCTTCGAACATTTGCATATGCAACTCGTGATATACCAGCAAATCGTAATCGTGGACAAAAAATTCAATTTATGATATTAATGGAATTAATGGGACGTGGAAGTTTACGAGATGTTCTTGAAAATCAACCATATGAATTATCATTAAGACGTAAATTAACAATGTCTAGACAAATAGCATCAGGTATAAGACGTATTCATCAACATGGAATGATACATCGTGATATTCGACCTGATAATATTCTTGTTACTGATAATTATGTTGCTAAAATTGGTGATATGGGTATTGCTCGTTTTCTTGATCCAACTGGTCAACATACTTTAATAGGTTGTGAAAAATTTATGCCACCTGAATTTTTTCGTAATATATCTGATGGATATTGTAAATCTGATGAAAAATTAGATATATATACATTTGGTCTTACATTAAATCATTTATTTACAGAAAAAGCTCATGATTTTCGTTCATCTTTACGTTTACCACGTGCTATAATAATTGAAAAAAGTCCAATTTTATATGATGAAATTATTTCAAGATGTTTAGATGAAGATTCAAAACAACGACCAACTGCTATTGAAATTGAAAAAATTTTAAAATTTTATGAACAAGCTTTTTCAAAAACAATAAATCAAAGTACATATGAAAAAATGAATACACAACAAAAAAATAAAGTTTTTATGGAATTTTATGAAAAAAATAAAGTTAAAATGCAACGTCTTGTTAAAGAAAAAATTTCTCGACCACTTATTCGAGAAATTCCAATTGAATTTGTTAATAAGCAACAACAACAACAACAACAAGCTCCAATGTCTAATGAATCGTTAAATGAAAAATGTCGAGTTAATTAATTTTTTTTCTTTTTATTTAATAAATATGATTGTCAATCGATTGATATGTCTCAAATTTAGATTAATTCAATTCATTAGTAACAATTCTTCTATTACTTGTAGTTATACAGAACAATCCACAAGTAATGACAGTAATACTTCTATTCCTTATAAAAAGCTTCAAGATACTTTCTCTGTATATAGTCTGATAGAGAATAGAGCATTCTTTCATCTATCAGATTATATAGAGAGAAAGTTTCTTTACGTGTTTCATAAGGAATAGAAGTACCATTGCGACTACTTTTTGGATTACCCTAAGTAGTAGTGGATTGGAATAAAGATTGCTTCTTCTTGATTAATACGCAACTAGGGTTAAAAGTGTGGCACGTAAATCACTGAAAAAAATCGAATTCATATATAATTCATCGATTAATGAAGATTAGTTTTAGCTGTAGAACAGTTATTTCAGTCCAGATGAATAGTTTAACAATAGTTTCCTAGATATGAATACATGTGTGTTCAATATTTTATTTTTTTCTATGTGAACTTATATCTGATGAATTATAATAGTGTTAACAAGAATTCCGATAGCAACTAAATGTGCTTCTGCTTTTGAAAATTTATGCTAAATTATCAATATTTCCTTAGAAGGAATAGACGATTATATCATGGATGTAAAAATGAGACTAAAAAGAGGATCTACTTCATAGATCCACACTTACTTTACTTTCGAACAAGAGCTGTTGGTAGGTATATAACAAAACTAATAGTAAATATATTAAAAAGCTTTCACTAGCAAGTAGCAACAGTGATATGCTGTATAAAAAAAATGGGTTCAAAAGGATTCTCTGAAAGTTTGATAAACGCTGGTGTGAAGAATATGGATTATGTAGTTTGAAAGGTCAGTGAAATATTCCCTATCTACTGGAATATTGAGCGATGATTATTGCTAGGTGAACCAAAATATCTTCTTTTCTTTTCGATATTTTAATCTCTGAAGAGAAATAGAATACATGATTTAATTATTTGAAGAATAATTGACATGAACGTCTTACGCTAAAGATAGTTTCTTGATTACATGTCATTCGTTTTTTTTTCTTGCGTTTTATTTCACTAGGATTATGAAAAGTAATTCCGTAGAACACCGATATGTTATGATTTGTCCTTTAAGAGCTTTTATGCACGTTGCAGAAAAGCATACACAGGTGCTCCGTATCTATTCGTAATCTAGATTTTATGTCAATACGTAGCAGGATTTAAGATGCAAATAATACTGTGTTATATATATAAGGAGATAAAGCTTGTATATAATATCATCAATGTTATTGTAAATATTTATCATCAAAGAATTGTTTGTCAAAAGTTCATTTTATCTTATTATAATTAGCATAATAGAAAACTATGTTACGAAATACGATCATATTTTTCCTCTTATGTCAACACAATAATGTCTTTTGTATACTCCCGTTATCTTCTTATGTAACAATTCAAACACATTATTTACAGCCATTCATTTCAGGCGATGATCAACATATTCCTTTTTATAGTGGTTGCAAACCTGTTAATTTAGAATTCAATGTAACCAATATGAATTGTGATTTAATGACACATAACAGAATTTATCTTCCTCAATCACTCAAATTCGCTGGTGAAAGTCAATTACAATCGATTTTGAATGAGTATAAATTGATGAATGTTACCATGATTGAATTGTGGCCAACTCTTGGAGCATTTGGTTTTTATACATGGGCTTACGCTAGAATATTTTATAACGAGACTCATTGGATCTGGTTGAATTCTTCATCGATCAAATTTCCATCGTCAGTTAATTCTCCATTAACTGAATCTGAATATCCCGAACCTTATTTACCTCGATTACTTATAACATCAAATCCAGATCATCATTTTGAAATATATACTGACCTTTTATTATTACCATCATTATACATGAAACCCGTATTCGGTGATTGTCTGTGGACATCAACTAATTATACAAACTCTTTGAATCAAACGCAAACAACAACAATCTATTCAGGATGGTTACCAGTCGAAAAAATCAATGAAATCGAACAGGAACTACATCACAATATTTGTGTTCTCTTACCACAACCGTTTCAGATCAATGGAAAACCATACACGTTGTTTGTCAACGTTACACAAAATAATAGTTTCCATTGGCCGTCGGATATATTTTGGTATACTGTTCCATCTCCATCACCAAATGACATAATCACGACAAAGCCAGTTTCTGATGCTTGGTTCAATGATCTTCAATGGCCAAACACATTTGTCAATCAATGGAGATCAGATATGTATCAATTGAGTGGTGTCCAATCACTCAAGTATGAAAATGCAACGCAAATTTATTTGACTCGTAAATCTTCTATACAAACCGATAATCAATTGATGGACTTAATCGATTATCTCATTGAACGTTACAACAAATTGAATATTCGGACGGAAAAACAGATATTTTACTGGCGAAATATAATGCAAGCAAATCTTATTGCTTATATACCTGCTGGCGGATCCTACAAATGTCAGGAACCTGTAATATTTATCGATCATATTGATACTGCATTCGAAGAAGATACATTCGTTAATACCGGAAAACGGCAATCAACACAAGGTGCCGATGACAATGTTAGTGGTTTGGTTGCTTTACTTCAATCAGCTTTGATACTGAAAAAAACTCAAGAAAAGGCGTGTCGTGATATATGGTTAGTTCATTTGACTGGTGAAGAATACCCTGCGGCTAGTTTGGGTGTCTCACATTTCCTACAGCAGCTATTCTTAAAAAAACAACCAATACACACTGCTGTCATTGTTGATATGATCGGTCATCGTGTCAATCGAAGTGATCCTATTGTTCAAGTCAATGCAGGAGATTCAACCAAATCATTGCTCATGGCTGAATTAGCTCTCAATTATGTTTATCCACAAATCAAAAATGATTTAATCTTACAGAATTTACAGCCTGTTCTACGTCGATGGAGTGATCCATTTGCATATTTGTACAATACTGACGGAATTAGATTTGTTGAATATGGTTTTACTTGTCTGCTATTCAATGAACACATAAATTATCATGAAAATTTCGAACGTGTTGGATATCATGACACATTAGACACTGTGGATTTAATTGATTTTGAATATGGACAAACAGTCTCACAATATGCAATTGCTACAGTAGCAATGTTAGCTCATACAGATTGCCACTCAGACTCACGTTGAAACGAATCTAATCTTGTACTCATCATCGGATTGACTCCTTTATTATTACTACTACTTGCGATGTAGCAAACAAACAAAGACTTATGAAATCATCTACTGACATGTACCTACCTAAGATCGAACAAAATACTATTCTTGCCCAATTTAATTATATTATAGCATTGAATCTATGAACATCGTCTCAGTAGGTAGTGAAGCTAAAAGTGAATACAACAGGATGTGGATGTAGGTAAAGAGATGACCTATACCTATAGATAGCAGCAGTTACTCAAGTGAGTACTCTATGCAAATATGTGGATTCTTTACGCAAAAGAACACAAAATGTGTGCTTCACAAAATACGATGTACTATAGTCAGAGGATAGAGAAGAAGATATGATGTACGCTGCTGCCTTCCTAAGTAGAGATAATATCAGCGAGAGAGTATTAGAGTTATTGAAAAGTTTCAATATTCGACTCTTAAAGTTTGAAAAAAGGACGACCATGATGATCGCTTTGTTCATATGGGGCTGTGCTATCAACTACACGATGTCGTTGAAATTTTGGCTATGTAATCAATCCATTGACTACTTGCGTTGTGCTAGTGTTTCAGAAATATTTCACAGCTACACATAGACACAAAAGTGACCGTTCACGTATAACAGTTAAAATGCGGAACGTGATGATTAATGAATGCTTAACTAAATGGACGGAAAGTTAGATTCATACTTATCACCTTACAAAACCTTAAAAGACACGTCTGAAAACTCGATTTGAGACATGAAAAATTGTAAGCGCCAGAGAAGTCGAAAACTAGCTATCTCAATTTAAACAATTGAAAAAACCTGAGTTAATTTTGATTGGTTGATATCCATAGTGAATTACTATCTTCGTCTTGTTTCGTCTTCAGAGGCTATGACAAGTTTTGATCTCGAAGAATATAGTACTTGAATGTACTATATTCTATTATGTTCAATAATGCTGATTAGTCAAGAATAATTTTCATAATAGTTACTACGAGATTAGTTTGTGGAAACCGATGGAGCCATGGTCATCATCATGAAGAAACCTATTTACGTCAACTGCCATATTCTCGGAAAACAAACCAGCAAAACATTGAAAAGTCTTTAAAAGCATCAAGACCGGGACACGTATGCTAAAAACTCAACACGTTATGTTAGGTTATCTATATGCTGCAGTCTATCTCTTAGTCGTTCGAGCCCACATGCTTGCCCCCCCCCCCTCCCACTTTTGGGTGTTTTACGATTCTCTGTGCTTTTAGAAGGACTATTATGATAATAATACTGTAGTTTCTAAATCAGAAAATAAGGTTTTAGTGATAGAAAAGCTTCTTCAAAATCGAGAATAAATAATATGATGCATGATAGTTCGTTGGTATTCGTGTCTTTAATTCTAAATGTTCAGTATGTGTATTACTTCTTGGAGTATGGTTGACTTCCTCTGTATGCAATCCATTTGCATAAGCACTCTATGAAGCCCTTAGCATAGACACAATCGATCCATTCTGGCGGTAATTTATGAAAACCGTAGTAAGCACCAGCCAGCTGACCATAAATAGCTGCCGTTGTATCAGTATCGTCACCAAGATTTACTGCTGCTAGAGCACCCGCTTCAAATGACTGCGTACTCCAAAAAGCCCATAATGCAGCTTCAAGAGAATTAACCACGTAACCTTTACCTCGTATCCCATCGTCATATCCTTTTCCCTTCTTGAATGATCCTTTGGCAATATTTTCAATTTCTGAATCTAAAGGCTTGTTTTTAAACCACTGCTTCATCTCGGATGAATAAAATTTTTCACTGAGAAGTTTATTTTTATCTGTACCGTGCATAGTAGCTACAATAAGAGCTCCATAATAACGGCACGCGTCAAAGGCTTTCTTATCTCCATGAGTAATTTGACCACTGATTCCAGAGAATCCAACGGCCACTTCTGGATCTCGATAGAAAAATAGAGGCACAGGTGCCAAACGCATAAGTACACCATTGCCAGCTGCTCCATCTGAACTGCAATAAATAGGAAAATCTGCGAGAAGCTTCTCATCAGATAAGAAATCGATTTCTTCTAATGGGAGACCATGCTTTTGAGCGAAGGCTTTTTGTCGACTTTCAAACTCACAAAGTGATTTTCTAGTAGTGTCACCAATATCAAAACAGCTTCCTGTCGATGACATATAACCATGTCTAAACCACCATTTATAACGAACCAATTGATCATAAGGTTCAAAACCACGGCGAGCCACTAATGAATTAGCTAAACAAAGAGCCATGGATCCATCATCCGTGAACTAAACACCACATGGAAAATCATCATAAGACTACTATACATTTATGAATTTACTTTTTCAATATAAACTTTTCATCTACTTATACAGTATTATTGCAATGTTGTTTATTTGTCGTTCTTTTTTTTGTAGCAAAGTGATATTTTTGAATAAACTTACTTCCCTTAGATTGTTTAAAAATATTCAAAATCTCGAATACTCCTTATTTAAACATTTGATTAAAGTTGCTTCTAAAACTTTATTAATAGATGAATTACTTTTTAGTGAAGCACATTAGACAATGAATATTCGAATATATAGAGATAAAAGTGATGTGACTTTCTGAGTGACATTGTGGACGGATACTATTGGTTGGTTAAAGAATCAAACCATGGCATTACCTTCGCTATCAACATTTTATCTCATATTTCATCATAACTTTAATAAAACTGAAGAAATCTTTTGATCACTGACTTTCCGATGTTACAGCTACGAAAAAATAGTCTAAAAGCTTGAAGTTTGATACAGGAAGTAGTGAATTTCAACTGTATCTTTTAATACTTTCTAAAGAAAACGGAACAATCTGATTTTTAATGAATCTTGTGTTTTTGCATGAGTGACTATTGAGTGTTTACATCGAAATTGTCATCATTTGTCTTTGGAAATATTCTTTACTTCAAAAAAGTTTCGCTCTATCATTAATGAATGCAAAATATATTGAGAAAACACAGATCTTTATCGAAATCAAGTTCCTCAATGTTTAATACGGTAGTTTTTCAGACCCTGTTTAATTGCTGTAAAAAAAAGAAGTGGAAAGAAAATTTCTATGATGCATCTTCTAATATGATCCACAAAAAAAAGTAAGTAGACATTTTTTTCAGAGAGACTTTGAAGCAAATTGTTTCATGATTATGAAAACAGTTTCGATTTGATAGAATTTTGCTTGTATTTACATTTTCTACACAACATATGAAAGCTAATATCTCATTCTTCGAAAAAATTGATAGTTTCTCCATCAGTGTTCCTCACCCGCAAATAAAGAAGCTTCTTGATAACAGAAGTATATTAATTTAGACTATGGGCCAACACAAGCTATGCATTAGTAGATTTGCTATTCAATAATCATTCAAAAAGAGTTTAGTCAAATTTACCTGTCCTTTTTCGAGACCCCATGTTCCTCCACCCCGTAGGTCAATAACTGGATTAGCCAGCAAATAACTATGGGGTCTGAATTCGACATGAGCACCCAATGCATCTCCCAAAACTAATCCAAACATCGAGCCTTTAATACGATTCAAAATGCGTTCATCGATTTCTCCACGAGGATGAGTAAGATGTTCGCATTCATTGGGTTTGATTATTGTTGTACCTTCTTTATCTTTGAATCGACATTCTAGCCAAGTTTTGTCTATATAGAAACAAAAATCAATCGCCTGATGCTTTTGAATAGTACATCCAACTGAATCCAAAACAAACCAATAGTTCAGATGAGAGTATGGATGTGAGAGGAGATGGGTTTTGGTTGAGAGAAGACTAATGTACATCCATCCTCACACCTAAAACCACTCTCACGCTCATATCCAAATCATAAAGAGCAGCAAACACTCATTTTTTAGGTGGTACTCCATATAGGAAACTTCGAAATCATATTATTAATGAAAGAAAAAAATGACTTTCGGAGCATAGAGCAAGTATCGAAACTAGATATGATCAAATTCTCTCATATCAGTGAACTTCATTTTAGACGTTAGTAAAAAGGATTGCACATTTGCAATATTAGATATATTACAAATCCTAT